CCTGCGGGTAGAGGTCATTCAAAAGATTGAGATTTTGCAGTTTTAATAGATGTATATATTATCATATATTTCGAAATAAAGTAAATTACATGAATGATCCCTATGATTTGGACTAATTTGCATGTTTGCTCCTTGACTTATTTTTTTAACTCGGAAGGTCCCTACTATTTGTTTTTGTTACGCACTTGGTCCCTATCTTACTTAAAAAGACTATTTTTTTCCTTGATTTTCTAACTTATTTAAATAAACACACCCCCAACCCCACCCATTCTCCTTAGCTTACCTATCCCATAATTTTTCCTTATTTAAATAATAGTCTTTTTAGGTAAGACATAGACCAAATACGTAACAAAAACAAACAGTGGGGACAAAACGCGTAACAAAAACAAATAGTATGAACCTTCTGAGTTAAAAAAATAAGTTATGGACCAAGCGCGGAAATCACCCCAAACCATAGGGACCATTCGTGTAATTTACTCTTCAAAATAATCAATATATTATATCTCCTTAGTATACGAATTATTATATAAAATTTAACAATAACATTATTGTTATATTTTAAAAAAAAACATGTAAAGATTTCAGTTGTATAGATGCTTCTGCGCAACGTGCAGGCATTCGGCTGATATATATATATATATATATATATATATATATATATATATATATATATATATATATATATATATATATATATATATATATATATATATATATATATATATATATATATATAGTGCACCAAATGGACTTAAAAGGTGCAACTAATAGGCTTAATGAAAAGTTCAAAGTTCTAAATCCTTATACAAGTAATAACAACTAAATGAATTATTTATTCCACAAAATTAAAAGGTCGATAAACGTTGGAATTAATAGCTCACTAAAGACATAAAACGCACAACCGTGAACACTTAACAACGATTCAACAAAGGGAAAAAATGATTTTACTTTCTCCTGACCCCTTGTTCACGGCAAATCACCGACAGCAAAAAGATAGTGTGGCGCCTTTGAATTCCTATCCCACAACTTGCTCACAGACTCTCACAAACTTGGCTAGTTGTCGTAGCTATTTGGTCTGACTTCTCATCCACTAGCAATAGTGAAAAAAGTACTAGTTATTTACTTTAATCTTTAATGTTTTACTATTAGTTAAATTTTATTGTTCGGATTTAAAACCTAAAATTAGCTAATTATTTGTTCACTTGTTATTCTTTTATGTTGTTGGGTGAAATTAGATTTAAATCTTTATTTTTATTTGTAGGGTTTTAACATATTTCTTTTTTAAAAGGAACTGGATGTTCGTAATGATAGTGGTGATGAAAATGGTGGAAGACTTTAACCACAACCTACTCCAATAAAAATTGATATTAATAATCTTTCTTATAACCATACGGATAAAACAGTTACTTTCTATCATCCAGACCAAATGAATGAAATAAAGAGTGAATATTGGATTAAAAGACTTTCTCAACCTAAAGTTCATGATTTTCCATAAATAAAAATTGGTGATAAGAATAGACTTTTTGTAAAGGAATGGTTTCATAAATTTAATTGGTTACAATGTAACACAAAAAAAGCTTATTGTTTATGTTGTTACCTATTTGGAGACATTGTTGGCCAACAATAAGGAGAAATGTATTTATGACGGGTGACTTTAACACTTTGAGTCAAAGAAATTATTGAAACATTCGTAATGTCGAAAGACATCACAATAAGGTAAAACGAAAGTGTGAAAATCTAGTAAAGAAAAATCAGTCTATTAGTGAAGATTTTCATAAGCAAACAGAAGTCGAGGGTCGAGGCGAGTAACTATCAAATTTGGTTACATGTTAAAATTGATACTTATAGATTTTTATTGAAAAATACGTTATGTTTCCGTGGTCATGATGAGTCAGATGATTCTCTTTGTAAAAGCATTTTCATTGAAGAATTATTTTTCCTTCGAGAACATAATGAAAACATTTATGATGTTACTTTATAAAATGCTCCCAAAAATGAAAAATTAACGTCTCCAAATATTCAAAAAGAAATCGTTTAACGCTTTTCAAAAGAATCATCAAGTATATTTTGTAAGATAGTGGTAAAATTTGTTTTCTATATTAGTATTCGAGTTTAGAAATATATCCAAAATGAACAAATGGCAAGGATATGATGGAGCATGCAATATGCGGGATGCATTTAATGGATTGAAAGCATTGATATTAAAAGATATTACTCCGGCATATTATGCACACTATTTTTAACACCAACTTCATTTAGTGGTTATGGTTGTAGTAAAGAACCACGATGGTGTTCATGATTTCTTTGAACAATTAGCTTTGTTGGTTTATGTGGTGTGTGCTTCTTGTAAAAGAAAAGATATCATATGAGAGAGTTTACATGGAAAGGGTTCAATATAATTCTCTTGTTCCAGTCGGAGATACAAGATTGGCACACATTATAAAACAATAACAAGTCTGAAGCATTTATTTTTGGAGGTTTTAAACGTTCTTAATTATGTTGAAGAGGAGGAATATAGTTTACATAACCGAAATCAAGCTTACGGTATTTGTTAGTATTTCAAGATGCTTTATTTTGTGTTTTATTTAAACATGATGTTGTAGATTTTTGGTGTCATGGATATCTTGTAAAGACATCTTCAAAGAAAGGATCGAGATATTTTGGAAGAGACTTCTTTGGTGAAAGTGAAAACAAAAACGTTGAAAGCTTTAAAAACTATAAGCAAAAGGAAAAGAACGGTGTTTTCCAATTTCCACCAAACGAGAAAACACACAATGCCCTTCAAATTAGAAAATCTCTCATCATCAATAAAAGAGTGATAACATGTAAGTAACCATCAAGATACACCATTCCTAAATCATTAAAATCAGTTTTGTACAACCCACTTCACTAAAACTGCCCCCATGTTGATTTGTCTTACCAATGTTGATTTGTCAAACACAGAAAATGAAATACAATGACTCAAAGACTCCATTTGTTGTAGCAAATTGGTGCTCACTTCACTAAAACTGCCCCCATGCTCTTGAATTTTCATATCCAAAATCGCGTTGAAAAATAATTAAAGGAAAATAAAAATTACATGGACATAAAGGGTGCGTTTAGTTGCGGAAAAATGGTCCGTTTTCCGGAAAAAATTTCCAAGAAAAATAAGACTTTTGAAAACGCGTTTAGTTCGTCTATTTTTCTAGATTTTTCGCTAAAATTACAAAGAGGTTGGAAATTTTTGGAAAACTGATAATCATTGTTTTCCACATTTATCTAATTCCAAAATTTTTCTAAAATATAAACACACACCCACACCTTAACACCCCCCACCCACATACACATACACAACCACCCGCGCGCACACACACACACCAACCCACAAACACACAGACACATACACACCCACCCACACACACACACCAACCCACAAACATACCCACCCACAAACACACACACATACCCATACACAAACACACACATACATACCCACCAACGCACCCCCCACACACACAAACTCACACCTACCCCCACCCTCACAGACACACACACCCACACATACACACAAATCACACTTACCCACCCCACCCTTACAGACACACACACACCACACACACAAACCCACACCTACCCCACAAACACACATACACACACAAACACACACTCGCACCCCACCCACCCAACACCACCACTACAATCACCGACCTACCATTATCATCACCACCACCGCCACCACTAACCCGACACTAGCACCACCACCACTGTTGCCGCCGCCATCACCACCACTAACACAATTGCTGCCGCCACCACCATTGCCTGTCATCACCACCATCGCTGTCGACCCGCTACTGTCACCACCCTCACCCACACCCTACCACCGCTACCGTTTTCTAAAAATGGAAACCGATAGAAAAATACACATTTAAACACGTTTTCTAATTTTCTAAAACTAAAAATGAAAAAATAAATAAGTTTAACTAAACGCGTTTTCTAAATTTTTCAATGAAAAATGAAAACGGACAACGAAAATCGAAAATGGAAAACAAAAAACGGAAAATGAAAATTGTTTTTCCGTAACTAAACTCAACCTAAGGTACTCTTACGTGGATTAATGGCTTTGTACCCCAGGCTTTAGGGTTCAACACCATCGATTTCTGCATATTGTGTATATCAACAAATTGCTAGTGATGTAGGCACCTTCGATCGAGTTTTGGAATGTTGGGATCGTTAAACCCGTGGATATGTAGCAATCAAGGTAGTTCGAAGCATAATTAAATATCATGATGTTGCAATGATTGAAGTTTATGGGTCAGCAAAAAGTCAAATTCATGATCATAAACAAAAACCCAGTTCGATGGGTGAGATTAAATCCATGTTCAATACTTCAATCAAAGCATCATTATCAACCCTGTGAAAAAGATAGAACATGATTTCGAAAACCCATAAAAATTCACCATTGTATGACTACACAATGATTTCAACTCAAGCACAAAATAGAGGAGTATGTGAACAAATTAAAATCAAATTAAGCATTTCCCCAAGTTAAATTAATTCATAATGCATTGATGGATGATGAATGATGACAATGATATTACCTTGCATCCAAGCGAATAGAATCTGAAGGAATCAAGAAGACTACACTCACAAACTTCACAGGGATAATTTTAACAGTTTCTTATGGATAATTTTGCTGATTATTGACTATTTTGCCCCTGGAGTATTACTCAATGATGTTGCAAACTTTCATTGATTTTTGCATTAAATCATCTTTTCTTCTTCCATGTCACCAAGTATTATACTATGTCAGCACTTAACCTTGCAAGTACCCGTTACTATTAATTGAGATTTGAACAAAATATATACTTCGATTGTGTTATTTGTGTAAAACTTTTAGTTAGATGGTGTATTTTGAAGATATCAAACTTAGATATCTTTATAAGCCATTTTCCATATTTTGAAGGTTGGTTGTTCCTGCAAAGAAGGCGAGCGAGCGGGTAAGGCGGTGATTGAATGGATGGATGGAAGCAGTGGACGGAGAGAAGACCGCTCGCCCTCACCACCACACCACACCATCACCATCACCATTTCTATTCACATCTCTTTATTTAACCCCAATTTCCATCTTCCAATCTCGCAATTTGAATCAAACAAACGTAATCGTCGTCCAAAATGTCGTGGCAAACTTACGTTGATGACCATTTGATGTGTGACATTGATGGCAGTGGCCAGCTCTCAGCTCCGCCGCCATTACCGGACTCGACGGCACCGTTTGGGCCCAGAGCGCCAAGTTTCCTCAGGTCATTTCTTAATTTTTACCCCTTTCTCCTTCGATTATTTCCAATTAGGTTGTGAAATTGTATTCAATTTCGTTAGTGTTTGATTTTTCGATGTTGATCTGGATGATTCTATGATTTACACGATCTGATTACTTGATCCGGTGGTATCAAGTATCAACGATTTGCAAATTTGATCATGTAATCATCGTTTGCGCATAATAACTCGTATTAATTCGAACAAGATCTCGGTGACTGATTTTGTTTTGCTAATTCATGTATTTCCTTACAACAATTCATGTTCTCTATATCTCATTAATTATGTTTTTGCAGTTTAAACCCGAGGAGATGAAAGCCATTTGTAATGAATTTGATAACGCAGGCACCCTTGCCCCAACAGGTCTATTCCTTGGAGGTGCAAAGTACATGGTACTCCAAGGAGAGGCTGGAGCTGTCATCCGTGGAAAGAAGGTGATAAAGTCCTAAATTTTCCTTTTTGTACAGAAAAATATCAATTATTTCACATTTTGCCCAAACTAACGAAAAAAATCATTTTTTAACAAGGAATGTCAAATTATGTGGTTTTAGGACTTTTATGTATAAACCCGTATAATAATTGAAAGTATGTTGGTATATGGTAGGGAGCGGGTGGAATATGCATCAAGAAGACTGGTCAAGCCATGGTGTTTGGACTGTATGATGAGCCTGTGAATCCCGGACAATGCAACATGGTTGTGGAGAGGTTGGGGGATTATCTTGTTGACCAGGGCATGTAAACAAACCACATTCGCCTTCTCTTCTTTATTCAATAATTATATGGCGTGAAACACTTTTCTTTCGGTTTCTTTGAAAGAATGTGAATTAGTTTTGAATTTTTGATCTCCGATTCCTTGTTATAAAACAAATTATATGTGTATTTCATTGTATCACACTCTCAATAAGTTTGATGTCATTTCAAAATTTTGCATTTTGTATTTTCTGTGATTTTGTTTTGAATATGTGTTAGAAAATTGTAAGTATGTTGCTATTATAGGTAACCAGTGATTTAAAGAAAAGTTTATTGTAGACTCTAATGCCACGTAAGTAAAAAGGCGGTTTTTGATGATAAAATTGCTACAATCGGTAGAAAGTTGTAAGTACGTTATTATTGTAAGTAAAAGAAAAAAGTACATTGCCCATATTTATTAAAATAAATAATAAAAAAAATTAAAAAATAAATAAATAAAATAAAAAGATAATATGTTGCTATTTCATGTTATTTCCATTAGTGTATATATAAAACCACAAAGGCCTTAGGAACAATACAAGTTTCCAACCGTGGTTTTGTAAAATGGCTGATGTTGGCTTTCATGGAGTTGTGGCTTATTTTGGTTACTCATTCGCTCACACCAATACATGTTTTCCACAAATCTTCTAGGATGCGTTTAGTTGCGGAAAAATTGTCTGTTTTCCGGAAAAAATTTCCAAGAAAAATGAGACTTTTGAAAACGCGTTTAGTTCGTCTATTTTTCTAGATTTTTCACGGAAAATGAAAATTTTCCCTTTTCTAAAATTACAAAGAAGTTGGAAATTTTTGGAAAACTGATAATCATTGTTTTCCACATTTTTCTAATTCCAAAACTTTTCTAAAATATAAACACACACTCACACCTTAACACCCCCCACCCACACACACATACACACCCACCCGCACGCACACACACACTAACCTACAAACATACCCACCCACACCCACCCACAAACACACACACACATACCCACCCACCAACGCACCCACACACGCACAAACACACTCATACACAAACTCACACCTACCCCCACTCTCACAGACACACACACCCACACACACACACAAATCCACACTTATCCCCACCCCCACCCTCACAGACACACACACCACACACACAAACCCACACATACACACACAAACACACACTCGCACCCCACCCACCCAACACCACCACCACAATCACCGACCTACCATTACCATCACCACCACCGTCACCACTAACTCGACACTAGCACCACCACCACCGTTGCCGCCGCCATCACCACCACTAACACAACTGCCGCCGCCACCACCATTGTCTGTCATCACCACCATCGTTGATGACCCGCTACTGTCATCACCCCCATCCACACCCTACCACCGCTACCGTTTTCTAAAAATGGAAACCGATAGAAAAATACACATCTAAACACGTTTTCTAATTTTCTAAAACTGAAAATGAAAAAATGAATAAGTTTAACTAAACGCGTTTTCTAAATTTTTCAATGAAAAATGAAAACGGAAAACGAAAATCGAAAATAGAAAACAAAAAACGGAAAATAAAAATTGTTTTTCCGTAACTAAACGCAACCCTAGTGTCTCTGTTTTTCAATTTCATTATTCCACAAGAAAAAGCTTTAGCATCGATTGAATATTTTCATTCGTCTCACCTCTTTTGATCTCAAAAGGTCTCAAAGATTCATCGATTCCATTCTCATGTCGATGGTTTTCAACCAACTCAAAATGATTCTTTGATAAAGTAATTTATGTATTTTGTGGAACTAATATATAAATATTGTCTTTTTATGTTAACAAAAATAATTCTTTACGAATCATCCAAAAACACGTGAGATATATGGAATCTAGTGAAGTTTTGATTGTGACATAGCGTACTAATGCAATAATTAATATCATGTTTTTTTTCTATGATTTGTTGAACATTGATTTTTTTATTAAAATATATAGCAAATACAGTAAAATATATTGGTCTAATCAAGGTTTTAAACAACGTTAGGCGTGATTTTGCGGCAATATCGAGTCTCAAGTTTTTACAGGTCATGGTGAGCACGTCGTTTGTAAAGTGTGACTTAAGGCAACAATTTTATATATATTTAATAATTTTATATGTATTTTCTACTATTAACCATTTTTATATACATATATGACTTAAGATGACATTTTGTTAAAACTTAACGGCAAGTACAAGTATTGGAGCCTTTGTCACGCAATGACGAACTTTTTGAAACTTTGTTTATAATAAAACCCCATATTAAAAAGACACATTATATTTTTCCTATTAGCCTAATCCAACTTGTTAGTAAAACACTTTTAATCAATTTTCTTTTGGTGACATGGAAATCGATGCTAATGTGTATAGTGACATGGAATGTCATCGCTTTACTTGATATAATATCTTTTGACCATAAGTAACATACAATTTATGTTTCTCCATTGGCTACATGTTCGATCGATGGTTTCTGTAACAGCCCAACAATAGTGGTAAAAAATTTCATTTAAAAACTATTAATTTCATTCGTTGATTATACCAAAAACCATCAATCATTACAATATTCAAAACATCATAGTACAACTATTTAAAATGCAGAAAATCTGAAAAGGGGGGGGGGGGATGTTGTGCCATCAGCCCGGATCCTTTCCTTTTGAACTGGAAGTACCTGAAACCATAAACATAAACTATAAACACAAAGCTTAGTGAGTTCCTTAAAGTACCATATTTCACACAAAAGAAAATAAATGTCATGGGCCAAATCATAGTCTTATAATCATTTCCTACCATGGGCCAAAGCATGGTCTTTCCATACAGGTCTGAGGAACAACACCTAATCTTGGTCTTTCATATTATTATCATGGGCGAGATCCTGGTCTTTCATACAAATGTCATGGGCTAGATCTTCGTCTTTCATGCAAGTATCACAGAAAAAAGTAGCATTCTATACAACAATCAATGGGCCGTCATTGGTGTTGGATTTAGTGTCTAAGCTCATAACTATAATTTGTATGTACTTGACCCGAGAGTAGCATGGTTCATTTGGGTTGCATGGCACCGAAACAATTTGTAAGGATGGACTTTTGAGAAGAGGATATTTGTGATTTGTTAATATATTATAAGTTCTAATATATTAATATAAAATCATATTATTTTATTATTATTGATCCAAAATTAATTTTGTGATCAAAAGAGACTAATTAAATATATGGGGATTGATTGTGTAAATCATTCATTCTTATAAAGTGGGCTTATGATCCATAGTTCTTTATGTTGGGCTAAACCCATGTGGTGACCAATGGATACTCCATGGAGGTTAAAACCCATGGAGCAAGAGGAATGTGGAAAGTCATGCACATTAGGGTTTGCATGATGTAACCCTAGTTGTGTCACACTATATAAGGAACCTCATGGCTACCAAAATCGGCACCTAACAGATACATAAGAGTGCTAGCCGATTTTGTAAGTGAACCTCATGGCTACCAAAATCCGTGCAGCACCCGACGTTGTGGCCGGTATGTATTTTTCTCTCTATTTATTTGAGTCTGAGATATTATGCTTATATCATGTTATGCGTGGGTACTTTTCTTGTGAATTATGTACCTGCCTTAGTGCTATTTGACTCTGGAGCGAGTCGATCTTTTGTGTCGTTAGCCTTTAGTCGCCATATCAGTATTTGTCGAGAGGCTTTGAGTCGGCCTCTGCGAGTTTCTATAGCTAACGAGCGAGCAGTCTATGACACGGAGGTGATTTGAGGATGTAGACTTGAGATCTTCGGTGTGGGGTTCCCGATCGATCTAGTCCCGATTGCGATGGGGGACGTATGTGTCATAGTGGGCATGGATTGGTTGAGCCAATTTGGAGCTATTATAGACTGCGAGCGTCAGCTGGTAACGATTCGAGACCCTAGTGGGGGAGTCCTTACGGTGTACGGTGAGGGCACCCGTCCTGAGTCACCATTTTGTTCGGTTGCTAGAGCGAGATAGAGTTTACAGCAGGGTTGTAGGGGATTTGTGGCCTATGTGATAGATACGCGAGTGGCCGCTGGGAGGCCAAGTTCGATTGATGAGGTCCCAATTATGCGGGAGTTCCCTGATGTTTTCCCCGAGGAGTTTTTGGGTGTGCCTCCTGAGAGGCAGGTGGAGTTCCGTATCGACTTGGTGCCAGGGGCGGCACCTATTGCCAAGGCACCCTATCGCCTTGCGCCGCCCGAGATACAGGAGTTATCCTCGCAGCTTCATGAGCTATTGGGAAAGGGGTTTATCAGACGGAGTAGCTCACCTTGGGGAGCGCCGATCCTTTTTATCAAGAAGAATGATGGTTCACACCGGATGTGCATCGATTACCGGGAGTTGAACAAGTTGACGATCAAGAACCGTTATCCGTTACCGAGGATCGACGATCTATTCGATAGGAGGTGTCTTGGTTCTCCAAGATAGACTTGAGGTCGGGATATCACCAGATGAGGGTTCGGGATGAGGACATCCAGAAGACAGTGTTCAGAACTCATTACGGGCATTACGAGTTCGTGGTGATGCCATTCGGGCTCACCAATGCACCAACAGCGTTCATGGATCTCATGAACCGGGTGTGCAGGCCGATGTTGGATCGTTCGGTGATTGTTTTCATCGATGATATCTTGGTATATTCAAAATCCAGAGAGCAGCATGAGGAGCATTTGAGGGAAATCCTCGGAGTTCTGAGATCGGAGAGGCTTTACGCCAAATTCTCCAAGTGTGATTTTTGGTTACGGGAGGTCTAGTTCCTCGGGCATCTCGTTAACCAGAAGGGGATTTTGGTCGATCCGGCCAAGATCGAGGTCGTGATGAGTTGGGAGGTGTCGAGGTCACCTACTGAGATCAGGAGTTTCTTAGGATTGGCAGGCTATTATCGGAGATTTATCACAGATTTTTATAAGATCGTCGTGCCACTCACCAAGTTGACCCGGAAGGGTGTTGCTTTTTCTTGGGGTCCGGAGCAGCAGACCTTGTTCGAGACACTTCGCCAAAGATTATGCGAAGCCCCGGTGTTGGCCCTTCCGGAAGGGGTGGAGGATTTCGTGGTATATTGTGATGCATCGATATCGGGGTTGGGAGCGGTACTTATGTAGAAGGGGCATGTGATAGCATATGCATCGAGACAGCTAAATCCTCATGAGTCGAGTTATCCCACTCACGATCTGGAATTGGGGGCAGTAGTATTCGCCCTCAAGATCTGGCGTCACTATTTGTATGGGGTTCGGTGTATGATATGCACGAACCACAAGAGTTTCAAGTATTTAATGGATC